AATTGGACTGCTTCTCGACCAATCAGGAAGTAATTACATGGCGCCCGACTTCCTGATTGGCCGGGAAGCCGGCTCCATGCTACCTTTTCACCAGGTGACGAGAAAGCATGTAGCCAGCTTGGTGGACAATCAGAAAGACAGAGGGCTGGTAATGACTCTCTGCCCAGCTTTCTGATTGGCCAAGAAACCGGCTCCATGCTACCTCATCACTAGGTGATGAGGAAGCATGCAGCTGGCTTTCTGGCCAATCAAGAAGCCAGGAATGACTCACCGCTCGGCTTCTTGATTGGCCAGCATCCCAACCAATCAGGAAGCAGGCAAGAGTCATTACACCAAGCGAGGAGGGAGCATGGAGCCAGCTTCACGGTCAATCAGGAAGCCAGGGAACTAATACAGTCTTTGCAAATATAAACCAACACGGTCATTTCAAAACTGTCAAAAATACAAACAACTATTTGTTTAGCCATACAGGCACCAAAAAAATAAAGGGGGGGGGGCAGCTTTCTGGCTCGTGTGGTGGGACCGAATATGAGTAGTCGGGTGTTTGTGTGTTTATACCGGCCGCACTATCATTTGGGGCGTCTGATGTAATTAACTGGCCCGTGCCTTATTGGTAAGTGTTCTCTTTATCGATTTCATAAAAGAGTTAGAGAAGATGAGGAAACAGCCGACTTAACACCCCGCTGGTTATACGCAGGCGGTGATATAGTGGAGAGCACACATGTGTACATAGTACCAACTTATGTGTTGGGTTATTGGATAACTATTAGGCATAGTGGGATAAGAAAATGCCAAGTGGTTTATTAATGGTTATCAATAATACCCAGGGTCTGTGTGAAAGAGTAGGGGAGAAAAGAGAAAATTCAGGAGAGGAAGAAAGAAGAGGGAATGCTAGATCAGAGTACGGTATATTATGTTATGATCTCAGTTGCTCTCCAAGGGTGAGATATTCAGACGAGCGCATAAATTCCATCCAGGGATGCCATGTATTAAAGAATGAATTATAATTGTGGTTAATTGAGCTCGTGAGGTCTTCCATGAGGTTGACTATGTGTCTAGTAAGAGAGCAGGAATAGACATGTATCGGTATATTATTGTGGTGTAAGAGGAAGAAGGCAGGGTCTCGTGGAACCGGGGCGTCTGTAAATGTTTGCGCAAGGGCGTGCACCTTATCCCAAAATTGCACAAGACCAGAACATATGGAGCATGCTTGCAGAGGACTGTTGGCACCGCCAGCACTGGTCTAGTGAGTCCGGGAATAATGAATGGAGGGCTTGTGGCATGCGGTACCATCTGGTCACTATTTTGTAGCCCAGTTCTTGGTATCTGTTGCTAATTGAGGAACAGTAAGAAAGAGACAGTAGTTTAGTTGCGGCTTCTGTTGGTATAGCAATCTGGAGTTCCTCCTCCCATCTTGACAGGAACCCTAGTGGGGATTGGACCGACTGTTTGATCAATTGCGTGTAGCAGAAGGAGGGGACATGTTGTGAAGGGTCAGTTTGGGTGCAAAGTTGTTCGAATGGAGTAAGCGGTCTTTTATGATTATACACCGGTGGAATGGTAGAGAGGAAGTGGGTTAAGCGCATGGCGGACCAGAAGTCGAGAGGTCCATATTCTGGTTGAGTATGGAGGGCATGGAAGGAGGGCCACTCCATGCTCTTCAAAAGATGCATAGCTTTATGGATACCCAATCCTCTCAAAGTCGAGTATGTGTGGTGTCCTATGCCTGGGGGAAAAGAGAGGTTATCAAGTATGGGGAAAAGGGGAGAAGGGATAGAGGAGAGGAATCCCTTGGCGAAGACCGTGCTTGCTAGTTTTAATGTGGGTCCAATGGTGGGGTGCGTGCGTATTTGAGGAGTTGGTGGCTCTATACTCCAAGGTAAATTGGCCAGTGGTACTCCAACAAGGGATTGTTCTATCTCAATCCAAAGTTTAGAGGGAGAGTGGTGGTTCCAATCAACTATACAGGCTAAGTGCGTGGCAATATAGTATTGGTATACATCTGGAAGCGACATCCCCCCTAAATGCTTAGGTCTCCGCATAATGTCATAACTCAGTGTCGGTGGTTTACAGAGCCAGACAAATTCCGTAAAAACCGCTCGTATACTGCGAAAAAAGGATAGGGGGATGTGTATTGGCAGTGCTTGGAGAGGCTACAGTAGGCGTGGGGGCCCATTTGAAAGAAAAGTTTTCAAGGACTCTACGCAGTTACATACCCGTAAGAGATATATGGAGGGCCTCTGATTTAGTGGAGTTAATTCGAAAGTTTGAGAGGGTTCCGTAGCTCCTCAATTCCTGAAGCAGTACAGGGATTGATACATCCGGGGATGAGAGAAAGAAAATAAGATCGTCCGCAAAAGCGGCAACCTTATGTTCCGTCTGGCCAATTGTGATACCGTGAATGTCCAAGTTAGCGCGGATCGTGCGCAGTAGGGGTTCTAGAGACAGCACAAACAGAAGGGGCGAAAGGGGGCACCCCTGGCGTGTACCATTCGAGATAGAGAACGAAGACGACAATGTGCCATTTATCCTTACCTGGGCCGAGGGGTCTGAGTATAGTGCCCTGATCCAGGATCGCATATGATCTCTCACTCCGACCGCCTCCAACGTACCATGAAGAAACTTTCAGTCCACCCGGTCGAACGCCTTCTCCGCGTCGATGGAAAGAATTATACATGGGATGGCGTTCGATCGGGCGGAGTGGATCACCCCAAGTGCTCGCGTGGTATTGTCCCTCGCCTCCCTGGAGGGAATGAATCCGGTTTGATCTGGATGGATAAGTTCCCCCAGATGGGGGATAAGAGGTAGGTATACAATTTTAGCAAAGAGTTTAGTGTCCACGTTTAGGAGTGATATTGGCCTGTAGCTAGGGCATAGGGACGGGTCCTTTCCTTCCTTGGGTATTACCGTGATGTAGGCCCTGAGGGAGTCAGGTGGAGGTTTTTGAGCTGTGCGTAATGAGTTCAGGGCGTTCAAGAATGGAGTTACTAGTATGGGAAGGTACCGTTTGTAATAAGTCAGCGAGTAGCCGTCTGGGCCCGGTGCTTTGCTGGGTTGGGTAAGTTTAATGGCCGTCTCCAGTTCCGTAGCGGATATAGGAGTTTCCATTAACGAGCTAGCATGTGGTGTAAGGGAAGGGATACCCGAGTCCTCGATATAGCTTTTTATACGTGATAAATGGGCTGAGGTACTCTGGGTGGTCGAAGGTTGTGGTATATTATAGAGGTTTTTATAATAGTCTACAAATGCGTCCGCAATATCGGCGGTAAGTGAGGATTTAGCTCCCGGGGGTGTGTTAATCGATTATATAAATGTTCATGCCTGTTGTTTACGGACGGCCCTCGCTAGGTATTTGCCACACTGGTTGCCATATTCATAGAAGGTTCGGCGACACTTGAGTAACGCTGATTTAGCCCTGGCGTTGCATAGGGTTCGAAGCTGTTCTCTCGCTTGGAGGAGCTGGGCTTCTAAGTTTGCTTCAGCGTGGTTTTTATGGTGTGTTTCAAGTGTGTGTATCTGTGACAGGAGGGCAGTCATATCTCTCGTCCTCTGCTTTTTAACCTTAGAACCAGTCCTTGACTTCTGCATCCCTACAGGACGCGCGGCCTTTACCTGTATTCTTTGTAAACTTTAACGTTAAAAGATTTATTTGCCTTTACTAATATAGAGAAACAATTTAATATGTGATTTATGCAAGTTAAAGAGCAATTCCAAAAACTAGAATCAATCAATTTTTTTTTACATTTAATCCAGGGAACATTGTACTATACTATAATCAAAAAGTTCACCAATTTATCTTAAATATGGAAAACTTTTTCAATCCTATGAAAAGAAAAGGACATATTGCCCTTATGTTTATTAAAGAACTTCAGTCAGAAATAATCTTAACCATTGCATTTTGGGGTACCCCCACAATACAAGGGTTAGGTGCTTGTTTTTGTCTAGGGTATAAAATAAAAGATGTACTCACCCAAACCTGCAGATTCGATTGACTGTTAGACCTGCCCCTGCAGCCTCGCTTCCACTCCGACAGTCTAAGAACGTTTGAATCATCACATCCAATACAGTGTATTGGACATAAGGACTCTGAGGGATATTTTATCAGCCGAGCGGAGGAGGAGAGAAGCTGCAGGGACCGGTCTAGCAGCGAGGCGGATCCATGCTTCAGGTGAATACATCTTCTTTTTTTTTACAACCAAGATGAAAACAATCACTTGCAATGCTGGTGTAGCCCTACTGCAAGGGTCAAGATTAATTCTGCTCAGAGTTCTTCTTTAAGAAAGTGCTGAGATACATTAGAGGAGTGAGAAGCAGAGTTGTTTTGAGCACCACAAGCGTGTTTGCCAATTCTTGCTTGGAGATGTCTGGTGGTACATATTACCTTTACATTTCAAGCACAGGATAATGTAAAACCCATTCCTAGTTAATAAACTGGAAAAGTTTTAGTATGCACATCACAATAGCTAGAGATTTAAAGGAACCCTGTGTAGAGAGACAAGTCAACTGGTTCTTGGAGGACTCCTTAAAGAAGGAGAAAGACAACATAGATCCCAAAGTTGGTGCCCTTCTACTGTTATAGATTTGCCAGCTTTCATATTGTTTATACATATTGGCCCCATTAAAAGAGCTTTTACAGTGCACAGCTTTGGTATAGTGCAGGGCGATATTGTTGACTGAGCGGTCCTGCTACGATTTTACAGTGATTGGGATTCAAAATATTTGACCATCATTATCACATGAGTGGGTTAATGGTACTCTAAGAACACTAAATTACATGCAACAATGAGATTTTAAGCACTGCAGTTGTCTGGTGCACTGTAGCTATGTCTGAACAAAAATTAAAACAATGGACCTGCCTTCCAAATTTGTTTAACAATGTTGTTTTGCATTTGTTTGCTGAAATGTTAATTATAGGTTGATTTAATTATAAAAAAATAAATGTAGATAAACAATGTTTGCATCTGCATTGTGTAGATGTGAATATTAAATGATGTGAATATCAGTCGATATATGCTTCTATTTACAGCTGTATAATCTCTTTCTAGCTAGCTCCGTAACCAAGAATCATAAATCTCACATAGATTATGAAAAGGTACAAAAACCAGAAGAAGAAGAAGAAGAAGAAGAAGAAGAAGAAATTACTGATCATTCAGTTGTTCCTTCAGAATCATCTGAAGAAGATACACTGGACTCTTTCTCAAAGACCAGTTTAAAGAATCCTATGGAGAAACATAGAAAATCTGGCATAATGCCTGCACCCAATAGAAAAACATCTTCAGTGGGCAATCATCAATCAACTGAAGTTACTGATGACAGTGAGACAACATCAACTCCAAAACTGTCTACACCGATTCCAAGTAGAAGATTTCGTCCACCTTTTAATAATCAATTTAATCCAAACACAGCTAGAAAACCATCTAGAACAACCTCTTTAAATTTAGGACGAAGGATCATTGCTCGTAAGCCTATTCCGCCTAGTGTTGTAATAGGCGAAGAAAATGAGAGCAAAAATTCAAAGATAGAAGAATCAAATCCTCACACAGTTGAAGATAATCGTGCGAAGGATTCTGTTAAAATAACTCAGGAACGATCACAGGAAGAACATTTAAATGAAGGTTATGATGATTTAAGGAACACAAACCCTAAGCAATCTACAATAGACTCAAGTAAGCAAGAGACTGATTCAAGATCTAATATGCCTAGGGTGCAAGATTTAGGGCAGGGCAGAGATTTGCCATCCTCCCCATCATCTGAAACATTAAAAAAAGAAACCCCTTCTATAAATAATGGGGGAGATACAAATATAGACTATGTCAGTTCAGAAAAATTGGGGTCTTCCAGCACAGCAAAACTACCTACAGAGCACAGATCACACCATATGTCTTCAGGAAGTATGAGTGAAGAAAAGAAAGATATAAGTGTGAGGGACAAAAAACCTAAATCCACTCTCCCTCTCCAGTCTCACAGGAAACCTACTCATAGATTTCCCATTGCAGCAATACCAAAACCTTATAACACTGATTACAGGAAACCAGATTCTAGATTAACTTTAGACAAGGGACCAGAACTTTCTACAGATTCTCACATTGATACTAACAAAGACAACAAAGATTTGCATTTACGTGATTTTAAAAAGACATCAAAAGAACATAATTTATCAAAATCTACACAACAGGTATCGACAAGAAGGGATTTTACTACAAGTACCCTGCCACCTACTTCTACCACTACCACCACCATTGCTACTACCACTACTACCACTACTACAACTACTACTGCTGAAGCACAGACTACTACTAAATCAAACAAATCATATAAACTTGATAAACTACCATCAAATAAATCGCCACCTGTATCATCCTTCCCTGGAAAATCAGCTGTAGACATACTAGAGTACTATAGAAGAAGAAGCTCTCAGGTTAACACTAATGTTGGCCGTAAAATAATACCTAATAGACACACAAAAATTCAGTCAGTTAAAACTACTGAAATCCCTACAACTACAGTTGTAACTACATTACCTGCTGAAAAAATAAAGAGTTATAATCAAAAGAGATTGCTGGATATGCCTGATAAAAAAGAAGATCCATACCTAAGTTCATCTGAAGTCCCTACCAAGCATCATTTGCATGGTAAAGTTGATCAAGAAATGCATTTTAAGGAATCCAGTGAAAAAGAGTCTCACGTATCTACAAAAGATAGTGAGGAAACATCACTGGTGAGCTCCGAACATAAAACTGAAACACACAAAACTTCTATAAAAATTAAAAACATAAGTAAAAAAACTGAGCAAATTAAAAGGATAAAACCTAAACAGACTGAGATGCCATCTGTTCATTCCATTGCATATAGTGAAACATCAAGCAATTCTGAAGAACATGAAGTGCAGCCAGAGGAAAGAAAAATGACTCCCAACACCAGCAAAAAAAATACTAACTTACTAGTTTCATCAAAAGCAGCAGCACCATCAAGATCAGGGTTAACTATGCCTGCTAATCGTGGAAAGTCTAATAATACAAACTCAAGATATACACCTGAAAAATCTCTAAATAATGCTGAAACTCTAGAGGCACCAAGCAATGAAAATGTTAATCAGGGACAAGATTCCTCAGGATTATTATCAAGAGATCCATTTTCACAAACAGATCATAGCTATGATGCTGAGGATAATGATAAAACAATCCGAAATTCGAAAAGACAATCCTTCCCTATGTCTAGAACAGTACATAATTCTGATTTAAGACCTATTCCAGAAAGAAATCCTTTTGAAAGTGAAAGGAAACTTCTCAAGCCACATATGTCATCTTCAGGAAGTGAAACACAAGTTAAACCAGTTCCTGCCCCTTTACCAAACTCTGGATTTTTAACTCAAGACACAAGCAATATTCAAAGCACTCCTGAAAAGCTAGCAATACCTGAGAAAGAAGAAAATCCAACACCCCTTATCAGGTCAAGGTTATCTTCATATTCCAATGTTCGCTCACTTAAAAATAGACATAGCAATGGCAATATTAATAACTCGGTGGATTCCACTTTTGGTCAGAAGCAGTCCTATCGGGAAGATGAAGAATTGCATGTCCCACGAGTGGGAAAAGGAATTTCTCATAGACCATCTAGAGTTTCTCCTTATATGAATTCTAGGCAAGCTGTTCTTCCAAGGAGAATATCTTCAACTGTTCTGCCAACAACAAGTCAACCTCAAAGCTCCAGAGTGCCATATCATTTAGTGCCATCAGTATCTAGACAACTAAATTATGGAAGGTCGCTATTCAGAACTACAGCTTTGCCAACTACAACACCTCCACGCACTCCTTCTCCTACGTATTCTCCCTCCTTGCTACGCCAGAGAATGTTTAATTCAAGACTGGGTTCTCCTTTACGAAGGCAGTTAACAAGACCTCAGTACCAACAAGGTAAGCAAATCTGAATGGTATGATACCACACTACACAACTATATTTATAACACTTTTTTCTCCACTGTGGAGAATGAAAAGCATTAAGAATGTCTTAAAATGGTATATGACGGTGTGTAAATAACCTCACATGCAAATACCTATTTCCCAATTCCTTTTAAAGGTATAGTGGTACCTCTTGTTCCAAAGCAAAGTTAAAATAAATCTGTCAGTTTGGCTATTTAGGGCAATGTGATGGACACTCTTGAAAGCCCACCCTAACCACGTATATCTACAGTACCTTTGTTGTTCTACCCTTGCTGCTCTGTTATTGCAATAGAACCTTGTGAAAGACATGGTGCTTTGTGGCCTTTTTCTCTTCCTCTCAGGAAGCAGTGCACAGGCCTGAGTGGCCAATCACCAGACCCAGTGTAACAGGTTATTAACCCTGTGTAAGCTCCAACACTGACTATCATGGAACTTACATAGGGATTAGACCCATGGCTTTACGAGATAAAAGAGCAGTGGGATAGCATTGTGAAGATAAGTATTAGTGGATGCAGGAGTGGGTTTTTAAGGAACTTGTCAGTTTGTCAATTCAGACAAAGATTTCCTTTAAGATGTCCAGTTTATGTATAACACCACATTTTTAGTGTAAGAAGCGCTCTAACGCCTTTAATCAAATACAATGAACATTGAATTTTGACTTTTTTGTTATTCACATTTCTTGCAGGTAATAATGGAAGGCCAAATATTACTCCAAGGTTGGGCAATAATGGGAATACTCTTTCCACTAGTAGAAATGGGAATCCTGGTGGACAAAAAATGATTTTTGGACCTGAAGGAACAAAGTGGGTAGGGGAACTTTATATATAAATATTCATGTGGTTATTTAATTGCTTTCTCTAATAAAACGTTTTCTTTTAGTTGTGGATATCCATATTTTTGGAGTGGGGAAGTTTTGAAACACCTGCCAGGTTTTTTATTGCTATGTCGGTCCCTGGTTGGGAGATTAACCCTCTCTATTTGTCATCCCCTTATTGTCACTGAGTCACAAATTGATGGTAAATGCAACATGTTACAATTGTTAAAGCAACAGGAATAAGGAGGACATTTTTTAATGGGGAAATTTTTTTCTGATGAAAACTGTTTAAGAGGGGTTAAACGTGTTGCAGAGTTTTCCCTCCCACTTACTGATGTGGACACAACATGAAGAAATATTTCCTTATTAGGTTTGCTGTAGGCATGTCAGTTTTTTGCCCTTCCATTTCATCTGTCTACTGCACCTTGGGTATTCACCAAGATCCTGGCCCCCAGTATTAGCTCTGCTTTGGTCTTAGGGGATCTCCATAGTGGAGTACAGTACAGTAGGATGACCTACTGCTCAGAGAACAGTTGGTACAATCGTTGTCATCCAACATTCATCAGTACAATACAAACACTGCAGAGCTTTGAGTGGGGTTTGAATCTCCAGAATGTGTCACTGGTTTGGACACGGCCATGTTTAGTATCTTTATTCCTCTGGAAAAAATCATATATCTCTAATCTATTGCTTGGATCTTACCGTCCATGCTTTTTCATGAAGGTGCTAGTCTTGATGGTGGCCTCCTTCAAGGCAGTTTCTATGCTCAATTTACTCCAGGATGTTTCAACTCAGTATTCTGGCTTCATGGGACAAATAGGCTCAGTTACTGGATCTCCCCATGCACTTGCCCTAGTGTTCCAGAAAAGATATGAACACAGCGCTCTGCTGACTCCCAATTAAATGTTCTCCAACATCAATCCTAGGATGGCTGCCGTCATCAAAAGGCCACTGGGAAATATCCTCCCAAGACTTGCCCTAGTGTGGTGAATCTCTAATCCAGCATTGAAATTGGGGAGTTCTTTACTTCTGATGGTCTGGAAGGTGCTCATGATGAATGCCACCCTGTCAGGCTGGGGAGGAGTCCTGGGGAACCTAGTCAATGGAGGAACTTTGTCTCCTCATCAACAGCCTGGAACTCAAGGCAATTTAGTTGTCCTTTTAACACTGGAACCCCCGTTACAGGGCAACTTGACCATAGTTCAGTCAGACAATGCCATGGCCATAGTTTGCATTAAACATCAGGGAAGCAGAAGTCACACAGCTCAAAGAGAAGCAGACTTGATCCTGCCTTGGGCAGAACTTCATATCCTGGCCCTTTCCGCCATCCACATCCTAAACATAGAAAATCAGCAAACAGACTTCCTTAGTATTCAATGTCTTGATCCCTGGGAATGAGAATGGACTCTTCACCTAAAGGTGTTTTGAGACCTTTGTCTGAAATGATGGACACCAGACATGGATCTCGTGGTGTCCAGGTTCAAAAACAAGCTGGACAAGTTTGTGGATGCTTTCGTGGTGGATGCTTTGGTGCCTCAGTGGGATCATTTAAGCCTGATCTGTGCCTTCCCTTCTCTGAAACCCTTTCCTCAACTCCTTCAGAGAAATTGAGTGAATTCTGGTGATCTGCATTGCTGCAGACTGGCTATGGAGGTACATTTCATTTACTGCTTTTTTAATAATAAATATAGCCAGTTCACTGGGTGGCCTGCTAAGTGCTGCACATTCTCTTTCCGGAAATGTTTCCAAATTCAGCATCACAGTACACAGCTACTGGACTATATTATTTTCAATGGAAAGCCTGTCAACAGATTGGCAGACTACACGAGGCCTAAATTGAAGTCCAGGGAATCTGTGGGATGCAAGCACAGATACAATGATGACAATTTTGGAAAATTTCAGGTGAGAGGCAGTTTGGCTCTAAGCAGGCTGCACAATGAAGATCTCAAGAAACTGGATCACAGGTAAGTATGATTTATTACAAAAATTATATGGGAGAGGAGGAGACAGAAAAGGATCAAGTGTATGACAAAAACAGGTATTCTGGAGTTCCACTGTAAAATAGAAAAGTTAATGTAAAAGATGTAGAGTGATGGAAAATTCTCGAGTCTGGAACCTGATTTATTGTAAAGAGTAAAATATCCAATTTTTTTCCCTGCTATTTACACATGAATTAAAATGTCATGATTTATATTACTGTCTACATTTAAAATCTTGTTGAACTGTACGTTACTTGTTCATCCCTTTATCTGTTGGTAGTAAATTACAATTTTGGTAATATTGAATTGACAAAAGAATGCTTATACATTGCTTTGATCCAAATAAGCATGTTTGTTAAAACAGCAGAACATTTTTAGGCAAAGAACCTAAAATCAGTGTTTAATTACAGTTTTGCTTCCTGTAATTTGGGTCTGTAGATCAAAACTTTAACTATACTTAATCGTCTGCATTTGCGCACCTTCCAGAGAGGTCATCTGGCCAGAAGAGCTCTCTCATCTTTTGTTGCGATGGTCTACAGCAGAGGTGAGGCTTCAAATCGCCTCATTCTCCAGTTCTGCTTTGGTAATTAAAGAGTAGCTTCTGGGCTTGCTTTTATTTTCCCAGCAGTGCCCCTTCTAATCTGTCATGGAGGAGAGACTTGAATGAAGTGATTTGAAACCTAACCTCCACGGTGGATCAGGAGGGGTTCTGCCGCAGCAAAATAAGAAAGCACTGATCCGCCAAGGAGTTGAGGCTTGAAATTGCTTCAATCAAGCCTCTCCTCTGTGGCTCAGCTGGACCATTCTGAATCCTGCGGAGCGGAAGTGAAGCTTGAAATAGCCTCATAAAGTGCTGTTCTCTTTAGGCATGGTGACACTCCTCCTATCTTTGGCTCTGCTGATCACTATACATGGAACTTTACACATGGTGTAGATGACACTCAGAAAGGGTTTTCATAGGTGAGTAAAGTACAGTATAGTAAAGAACGCACAGTTTGGTATTATAAAACGCAGAGCTCAATAATAAAGAAAGCACAATTTGGAACAGCAGAGAACACAGGGCTCAGTAGTAATGAACTCACAGCTTTGTAGTAAAAAAAAACAGAGCTCAATAGTAAAGAATGCACAGTTTGGTAGTAAAGAACACAGAGCTCAATAGTAAAGAACACACAGTTTGGTAGTCAAGATGCAGAGCTCAATAGTAAAGAATGCACAGTTTAGGAGTAAAGAACACAGAGGTCAATGGTAAAAATGCACAGTTTGGTAGTAAAGAACGCAAAGCTCAATACTAAAGTAAAGAATGCACAGTTTCATATTAAAAACGCAGAGCTCAATAGTAAAGAACACACAGTTTCGTAGTAAAAATCGCAGCATCAATAGTAAAGAACGCACAGTTTGTAGTAAAAAACGCAGCACTTAATATTAAATAACCCACAGTTTGGTAGTCAAGAACGCAGAGCATATTTGCCCCACACAGCTTGATATGCTATTAAAGGAGAACTATGAGGTGAGTGCTTTTCACTCACCTCATAGTTCTAGCCGACCTGTGACAATGAGACTGTCACAGGTCGGCTCAGTAGATCAGGAGGTGAGCGAACACATACCGGCGTTCGCTCACCTCTCGATCCTGTCACGGCTCTCTGCCGTGACAGGGGAGGGGCTGGATTCCCCCCTCCCCGCTCCGATCCGCCAGCGCTGACTGGTGGAACGGATGGGGGAGGGGGCGGGTACAGCTGGCTCTGCCTCTAGGTAGGCAGAGCCAGCTGTCAGTCACGCAGCTGGGCTGGTCCAGACTTAATTGTCCGGATCCCGACATAATTATCGGGATCTGCTTCAGCTGCGGAGTCTTAGTCTACCGCGAGCAGCAGCTCACGGTATACTGTGGCGTCACAGTATACCGCGAGCTACAGCTCACGGTATACTGAGCCTAGGTTGGGAGGACGCTAGTTTGTGTCCTCCCGCTACCCTAAGGAGAACTATGGGGAAAAGCCTTAACCCCATAGTTCTCCTTCAATGATTTGTTTACGGGAATGTGTTTATTTAAATGCAATGTATTGTTAATACTTTCCTTACCTCTAAGAGCTGTTGTTATCACGTGCTGAGTGTTGTTTATCCACAAATTCTGTCTGGTACCAGCTCCTGCTCCCTCCTTCATCTTCCTCAGGTACCAGCTTCTGCTCCCTTCTTCATCTTCCTACAGTACCAGCTCCTGCTCCCTCCTTCATCTTCCTACAGTACCAGCTCCTGCTCCCTCCGTCATCTTCCTCCGGTATCAGCTTCCCTCTGATTCCAGCCAGTGCCGCTGCTGGCTGTTGTGGAGAGGAGGGGGGGGGGGCTGCATGAGAAGAGCAGGCTCTCTCCTCTCTCTCACTGTACATGGGTTGTGGCCTGGACAGCGGGAAGTGGCGGAACACCAGGGTCCGGTCGATGCGACCCTGGTACTTACACCAGGCAGTGCACAAATGGTCAGTCCACCCCTGGCAGCGACCCTCCTAATGCGGCACCCAGGGCACATGCCCCCTCTGCCTCCCCTAGTTTTGGCCCTGCATCTGGCTTTTATTATTTTATAGGTATTGAAGGTATTTTTTTTGAATAAAAAAATACAAGCAACAGGGGGAATATTGACTGTGATCTGTTGCTCAGCACTTTAACCTAAATCCAATTAAAAACAAAACGGTAAATGTCTCACTAATGGGCACTGATCCAAGAACTCACTGCAATATACTGTTCTGAAACATAAAAAAGAAAAAAACTAAAGGCTAATAGTGACTTACCGTGAAAAGAGAGCTCTAGACCTGAGAGAGTTCAAGAGACTGACAGATATCTTTATGTCATAATGACTACTTCTGATGGCCAGAAATGTTCTTTATACCCACTTAAAGAGCTCAATTATGTAATTCTAATGTGACCTTCACAGGGAGCCAGGACCTAGTTGCCAGTGGTTTTGTTTTGTACAGAAAATCTGGTAGTGTGGTTGAAATTGCTAGCAAATTGCCATATTTTTGCCAGTTGGATTATCTTGGAAAAGAGAGGAACCAAATATAAATGATTATATTACTTTACATGACAGAAAAACAGAACATTAAAACAAAACAAAAATTGAAATACTTAACAGAAGAATTAAAAGTTTGATTAATAAATGGATGGCAATTTAAAAAATATTTAACCATTGATATATGTATGCATTTATGTATGCATGTATATGCATTTGTAGAATATTTTGCTGTTACAATTTGATTGATTTTAGGTTGTAGATTTAAATCGTGGGCTGGTCCTTAACCCAGAAGGACGTTATCTTCAGGATTCTCAAGGAAAGCCTCTTCGTATAAAAATGGGAGGAGATGGTCGAACCATTGTGGGTATGTAAACTCTTGATTCATGATTTCTGACATGCAAGCCTGTGTCACCATGATCTGGTATATATATATATATACATATATAAATTCTGGTGTGTATAAGTGCAAACATAGACTAAGAGCAGCCAGAGAGCCAGAGGCATTAGAAAAATTGGTACTTTGCTCTATTAGAACTATATTAAACACATGAAAAATCTGTTTGTTTCATGCTTTACCCAGTAACAGATCACTGATAATGGGTTTAAAGCATGTCCACACAACAAAAAGGCTTGAGTGTCAGTACTAGGATTTGAAATTTACCAAGACTATAACTTTTCCAGGTGAAGATGACTGATGATGGTGACTGAAAGTTGTTTATTGATTTTTTCAATTATTTGCAGCTGAGCAACACACTGATGTATGCAGAATGGTTTGAACATCTGCATACTTAAAAACCCTTAAATCAATGCCATTACATGTAGCAAGTGAAAGTGACAAGTATTTCTACCTGACTAACTCAGTGGTGGAATATATTAAACTGGAACTAAAAACACCAGTCACCCTTTGTGTTTGTATTTCTCTGGGTAAAAATATTTTATTCTATTTTTATTCTCACAGTTCATTGTTTCTTGTAAAAACAGATATGAATGGTACTCCCATTGTTAGCCCAGATGGCTTACCTCTGTTTGGACATGGAAGGTTTAGTAAACCAGTAGCAAGTGCTCAAGACAAACCTGTGCTGAGTCTAGGAGGACGACCTCTCAGGGGACTTGAAGTGGCAAGAACAACCAGAATTCCTACGACAAGGATGGTCACTACTCCAATTCCAACTACTACTACTACCACAACAACCCTTCCTCCAACAACCACTACACCTGAACCAACAACTGTTGAGCCAACAACAGAAGAACTAGTATTACCTACATGTGCACCAGGCTCTTTTGCACAGTATGATGAAGAAGGAAGTATGATCATGGGTCCTGATGACAAGCCTGATTGTTATACAGAAGGTAATAACTGTTGGTTTTCTTTGTGTAAAAGTTTTGAAAATTATCAAGTTGGAAAATCTCTGCAATTGCAAAAATGTCTGACGGTTGTGTAGAAAAGAACCTGTAGTAAGGCATACGGAGGTATAGTAAAGAAATATACTTTTTTGAGGAAATAAACACTTTTGTCAGAAATATATAATTACAATAGAACAACTAAATTGCAGTGCCCAGTGTACAGTGTACAGTGTGCAGTGTTGAGGAGTATTTAACCACTTCAAGACTGCCCACCGTCAAAATATGTCCTGTCCTGAAGCGGTTATACCAAGAACACAGCTGTTGCTGCAGCCGTGTTCTCTGTATCATTTTAAACAGACGGCAATGTTTCTATATAGCTGCCAGATCTCTTGTGCGGTGCGGCCAAATGTGTGAACCCCCTCCACCGCCGCCACCTGCTACCCCGGGCTCCCCTGTCCCCCTGTATTACATCACTTTCGGTGTCACTGTGCACATTTTTCTAGAACCAGGAGAAGAAGCTGAAGATGCAGATTGCTGCTTCATCAGCTTATTTGGGGTCCCTAGGTGATATTAGGGGTGTGAAATACCCCTGATGTCTCCATAAAGAGGACCTGTCACATCATATTTGTTATTTATGTGATAGCAATAAAGTTAAAAAATGTAAAATTAAAAAATTAAAGTAATATCTAAAAAAATGTTTAAAGTGCAAAACATTTTTTTAAAGTCCTCCGCCTCCACGTACAGGCACATACCAACCCAAGTTTACTAGTAAATAAACCCAGTACACAGCTTTTGACAAGTCCTTTATTTATAAGAAACACCCTAAAAAAGGTCCCACAATGTAAATCCATTGATGTAAATCTATCGTCGGACACACAATCTCCCCCCCTCCCCTTTCCTGCTCTGCCAGGCTGCTGCTCAGATCAAAGGTCTGGTAAGGGATTTTGGGGGACCCACACTTTTTTTTTTGCCATGCGGCCCCCCTAAAATTCTTACCAAAGCTTAAGGGTTGGTATGAATTTGGGGGGACCCCTCGCTTGTTTTTTAAATTATTATTTTAACATTTAAAAACATCAGTTCATTCTGAATGACATTCAGACAAAATTCAGATGCATCTGAATTTTCGTTATCAAAAATTCAGATACGTTCAAATGTATTATTTATTTCATTTGGACGCATCCGAATATCTGATATTGCGTATTTTCATCTGAATGTTAGTTCAGACAAGAACGAATGTGTATGTCTAGTGCTAACCCTAACATTAGTGCTAGGTCTAAACCTAGCACTAACCCTAATTCTAGCCCTAACCCTTTGTTCATCAACAAGCCATGTAGCCACCATGTCAACACTGAAATGGTGACATATAACTGTTTTTTAACAAAGTCATGTAATTGCCATGACAGTGCTGACAGTTGCATGACAGTGCTGACATGGAGACCACGTGACTTTCTCTAAAGACAAAGCATTATTGTTACCGTGAGCATTATTGTTAGTGAATGGAATAAAGAGAGTCTGTCTAATTGGTCCACCTTTAATTTAGTGTGCATGAGATCATTCTTTTTTTGAAATAGGTATCAATGGTCCCAGTGGGTTTGGTAGGACTGTTCAGTAGAGGAGATGCGCTTATGAATTGACTTTTTGGTAGCTCTCCAAAAGAGAGTTGATGGCAAATGGCAGTTTGGTCGCCCAAGGGCTGGCGAACAGTACAATAAAGAGTGTCTGCAGCAACAGTAAAGCATGGTGGATGTTCTTTACAAGTCTGGGGCTGCATTTCTGCCAATGGAGTTGGGTAATTGGTCAGGATCAATGGTGTCCTCAATGTTGAGAAATACAAGCAGATACTTATCCATGATGCCATACCATCAGGGAGGAATGTGATTTGCCCCAAATTTATTCTGCAGCAGGACAACGACCCCAAATGTACAGCCAATGTCATTAAGAACGATCTTCAGTGTAAAGTGTAAAGGGTGGTCACACCAAATATTGATTTGATTTGGATTTCTCTTCTCTTCATTTACTTTCCATTTTGTTAATTGATAAAAATAAACTATGTACACTTTTATTTTTGAAAGCATTCTTACTTACCACCAGCATTTTTTCACACCTGTCCAAAACTTTTGCACAGTACTGTGTGTGTATATACTGTATGTACTGTATGTGTGTGTGTGTGTGTGTGTGTGTGTGTGTGTGTGTGTGTGTGTGTGTGTATGTATGTATGTATGTATGTGTGTATGTGTATATACACATTCCTAAGCAGCGCTTATATAATAATAGAGCTGTATGCTATTTTACCTTTGTTGCATTTTCTCTTGACAGATAGCTACTCTGGCCAAGATCTGATCGTCACCACTGAAGCTCCAGAAAGGGTTACATATTTTAACCTGGATGACGGTAATAGTTTTTATTATGATCCCTTGGCATTACAACTATATTATTTGATGATAATTTGGTGATAGGGATTAATTCCTACACAGATCTAATATCACAAACTTAGATATATTTCAGTTCATTATTGTTGTATGAAAGATTATGAAAGCTGTAGGTCACTATAGCAACTAATCAGATTCCAGCTGCTTTTCTTCGCTAAATGTGGATTTTGTATTCTAATGACCAGAATATACACAATAAACAGTTTCCTGTTAGTTAACGTTATGTAAACATCCTATGTTGTGCAAGCATAGTTTCCGCCACTTAGAGTTAGGTTATGAGGTTATAATGAAATAATGAAAATCTGTATATTCAAATCCCATATAAAGCCAATATTTTTAAAGTACAAGTAAAAGATGGGAGAGAGACAGTATAAGGAATAGGACATGTATATAGAAAAGTTCTCTTTGCATAAAGATGGCTCTTTAGTTATTCCATTCATTCAGGTAGAGCTATTGCTCTGCATGTTTGTCCTGCTCTGCACAGGATCTCTTCTTTTCCATTCACCCCCCCCCCCCTTTTTTTTTTACAGAAAAAATTAGACAAAAAAATTCACTTTTTTTTTCTCTTCTTTTCCATTCCCCCCCCCCCCCTTGTTTTTTTAAAGAAAAAATTAGTTCAAAATATTAGCATATTCTTAGCAAATAGTAAATTAGATTTAAAACAAGCTTTTACTGCCCTTTGTAACTGAAAGCATTGTAAAGCAATTCATCTTTAAAATTTACAAGAGAAGCATTGAAGTCTAGGTCTTAGCTCCCTGTCCTCCCCCTTCCAGTGCAACTACTCTGTGTTTACATTAGGGATTAGAAGGATGGAAGGCTGCCACTACTGGAATGGGTGAGAAGGGGGGAGCTGAGATGCTAAAGAGAAAGTGTTTCTGCTGTAAATTTATGGATACATTTCTCCACAAGGCCTGTTGCTACAGAGGCCAGTGAAAATTCATTTTCTGCTTGTTAAGAATATGCTATTACATGACTATCCATAGCCTTTTCTTTTTAACAAATATGAAAAAGGAGATACAGGAGTTAAATTACGTATGTAATAAACCTTTAAACTAATTTTTCAATGTAATTTTCCAGATTATGAGCTAATTGAGACTACCCAGCACCCAGTCCTAATGACAACAACAGCTAAGCCTCCAATGTTCTATGACAATTCAGAAATAAAGTCTTTTGACAACAACCTGGTTTCTGAATTTGATGCAGCAGGAAAGAAGAGATTTACAGGTGTGGTAATTATATATGTATATGGAATTTGCTGCACATTAATAAATACATAAATTTCAGTCAAGAAACATGTTTTTTTTTTTTGCTTTAATAGCGCCTTATGTGTCTTATATAAGTAAGGATCCAAACACTCCTTGTTCCCTAACGGATGCTCTTGAACACTTCCAAGTAGAAAATCTTGCAGATCTGATTCCTAAAGAGATGGAAGATGGGATCCTACCTCCCAAGAACATCTCATACAATATTACTGTTGTGGCTGTTGAGGGTTGCCATTCCTTTGTCATTTTAGACTGGGCCAAACCTAAAAAAGGAGACTTCATCACAGGTAACATAATTTTATAAGCTTTTTATTTCTGACAGTTGAATGCATTGAAACTCACTGAATCAATGACATGCTTTAAATGTTGAAGTTCAGATGTGAAGTGCTGGATTTGTGATTGCTTTTAAGTAGGGTTCATGTCTCCAGTTGCAGGAGTGCAACATTTTTGGTTCTCAAGCATGGGGTGGCCTGGTAGGACATCTGAAGAAATCCATGACACAATGATTGACTCACAATATGTGAGTCAAACAAGGGTCTAGAAACAAATATAAATTTGTTAAAAAGCAGCAAGCAAGTGCGTTTCAGGAGCCAGGTTAATGTTTCTGGTACAGCACCTCAACAAATAGAAAAATATAATTTTGAAATACTAAAAAGGTACTCATGGTTTTTAGATAGCCATTATGTGTCTTGGCCAAATTAGCATACATTTAGCTAATAACAGTCCTATGCTGCAGGTTACAACATATGCATACTTACAATAGAAATGGGCAGACAGGCCTTGCAGCACTGAGGGTACCCGGTTCAATTCAAGGTCAGAACAATATCTGTGAATTCTAGTTACGCCTCTGGTGGTAGGTGTGGCTACTGATTAGTTAAATTGGCCACATGATTCAAAGCCCAACTGTTCCTTTGGTTTAAATCAGCTAAATACGTTTTGGGTGCAGCAAAGCAAAAGGTATGCAAAGCCTTACAGTTCGCTTTCTTTAGAATGCTCACACAGCCAGAGTGGAAAAAAACCTGTGCCCTGCAAGCATGCTGTAGAGAAGGACCTTTGTTCCGTGTGCATCAGTGACATGTGGTGCCTCTTGCTCGGGGTGAGGCATTCCCCAGCCCACCCCTGCTGGCCGAAGCTCCACCTCCTTCCGGCCAAAGTTCTGCCCCAGCCGGACGATGTCCCAGCCCCAACCAGTCCCCAAGCTAGTGTAAAGGAGGAAGGGAGGAGACAGGGAGTAGCCTCCCTGTCCCTCACTTGCTCCTCACCGCTGAGGCTCCGTGACAGGTTACACAGCGGGGAGGATTGCCCTGCTGTGTAACCTGTTAGATGCCGATCTGAATGGAGAAAAAGCTGTCAGCTTCAGACATGAAGCTGACAGCTTTTTCCTCTATAATTCTAGGTGAGGCTCTGGTGTGCATAAGCAGTGGTCTTTCTGCATAGGTCTGACATGCCCCTGCTGAGTCAGACCTATAGTCTGCATTTAACATAGCTCTGCATTCAACATAGCTCATTGGATGATTACTACTTGAAGAGCTGTAGCACATCACAGACCATGCTATGCCAATGCCTGTTTTTGTAGAGTTTTTAGGGACTCTAAATTGGAGTGAGCAATAAGCTCAGATTTTGCACTATGCCTGAATCTGCTTCAAGGAAAATATTTGCCGTAACTTTAATTACCGTATAATTACCGTAACTTTATTTTGCATAACAAATTCTATAACTTTGTCTCCCTAAAGGATATTTTCTATGCTTTTTTCACTTATGTATTTGGAATATTATGGTAAAACATGGCTGAATGGATTGTTGCCAACATCAGTCATTTTTTTTCATTTTGTGAATGGATTATTTTTTCTGTTGGATGTGCAGTACTTTATTATCCTCCAAAACCTGAATTTATTATTATTTACTATCACTATGGAAATAAGTCAGCTCTGTAAAATGTACTTTGGGAAAGGTGGATTGCTTTGGGTAACTGCCAAGGTACTAAAGACTATTTCAAAACTTGGCTTGTACAAGACCTGATTGGCAGTTGCAAGTAGTTTTAGACTAATGTGTACATGGTCTCAATAAAAATAAAATGAAAAAGCATATAGTAGGAAAATTTAGTTTTCTTTGCTGGCATATCAATGTCATAAGCATAATGCATTTGTAAGTTGATTGCATTTACAAACTTGTACTAGAAATATTACATTTTAAAGTTTATGTCAGGGTAAAATAAAACAACTTATGCTGTATGTCTCTGCAATACATGCACATTTTCCCATGTTTTATTCCTATGAAAATGCTTCAAACACAAAACAATACCTATTGATTCAACCAGAAATCAAGGGAGCTTCCTGTGCATTCTTCCTCGACTGCTCTAAATTCCCAAGCAGTGTTAGGAGGCCTCACCAGTTTACCCTTCAGCTACAGAACCCCACCATGTTTTTAGAATAGGTGGATGATAGGTGTTTTGTAGTCCAGCAAAAGAGAACTGGGCAGGGCTGACAACACTGCTTGGAGTTCCAGTTCTTCAGAGGTGTAGTCAGCTAAAAGCTAAGAGTACAGAGGATTTCTAGTAGATAAACAGACATACTTTACTTGCAGAGTTTTCAAAGAGACAAAGAGGGAAGAGCATGTATTTTAATACTGGATATGTACTGCATATCTTTTGATTTTGGCCAGACGTACATTTTCAGTAAGACAACTATAGAATATATTCAGAAAACATAACAGAATAAGTCTTTAGGTTTGATCTGAACACAAGCTGCAGGAAAGGGCTGTCGCTATAATGAGGCAGCCTCAAGCGGCATCTCATTGGGGGTGGCCAGGTGGTGGTGGGAGCAGCAAGGGGGTGACCACAGTGTCCCAGGTTGCTAAGAGGTCTTAGCAACCTGTGACACTCTGTGCGGCTTCCTCCAGTTCACTGACGCCACCAGTTACCAGGAGCTAAACGGGATGCTCTGGCCTGCGCCCTGCCGAGCTCCTGGAAACCGGTGATATCAATAAGCTGTGCAGGACGATGGACAAAGCTGCTTACTGTGCGGTCCGGCATTGCGCCCCCAAACCCCCACCCGAAAACTCAGCACAACTCAGCGCCAAAAACTCAGTACAACATTATCCCACCCCCCGGGAAGGGCCATTCCCTGCCAGCACAACCCCCCAACCACAGAACAACATCATCAACAGTCACCTGCTAACACAATTTTTTTTAAATGCTTCAAAATTAAAACTTACCAGATCTCCTTACCAGATATTGGAGCAGATTAGTAGGCCATAATTGCAGTTTGTAGAGCAAACTTATGTAATGTATACATTGCTTACACATGTTACATTCATGCTCCCAATAGAGGAAGAATCAGAAGCAGGAAGTTAGCAATTTTGACACTGCCTGTGTACATAAGAGAGGTTTTTCTCTTTCACCTTGTTTATGAAAGTTGTGTGCGTTCACAACAGATGCATCCTAAATGCCTCCTTCCTATCCTCTGTGGCTGCACAGCCTAAAGCATATTCCCACTTTTGCAGGCACATTTGAAAAAAACCCTCTATATGCTTGTTATGTGTTCCTGTTTACACTGCATACCGAAAAATGTTTTTTTATTTATATTTCTTACATTTAAGATGTTTTGTTGCAGTAGGCAACATTGCTGAATCCAGTTTTTTCTCAGCACCTTTACAGTGATCTATCCTTATAGAAAGACGTAGGACTGAAATGTGATCATTGTGTTTTTCTCATTAACTTTATTAACAATCAATGGAGAAGCCAGACTTTTAAGTAGCAAGTAGAAGCAAGTAGAAATGTTAACCCTTAAGAATCCAAAACATTTTAACCCAAGAAAAAGCAAATTTAAACTGCAAGAAGGGTTTTTTTTAATTATTTTTTTTTAACTTATGCTATATAAATGGGAACATGTAACAATGATAAAATACATGTTATCTCAATTTGGCTGCAAAAGTGCAAATACACTTTAAGTATGGCAGTCTCTGGAAAAAATTCCAATTATGACTGCATTTAAAAGAAGCCTGAAAACAAACACATAAAGATTTAAATGAAAATAATCACAAATGAAAATCAAATAAAACAAAATCAATGTAAATTGATATATCAGTGTGGCACTTTTAAAGTAACTCTATCACTAGGGGAAACAAAACCTGGATGTGTCAGCAGCCTTTAAGTTCACTGTTGCACCAATATGTAATAGGCTGTCTCATAGGCTGGTGTGTGGGAGAATAAGAACAAAAGTTTCCACACAACCATTAAGTACAGAAGCTGTTACCTTCAGAACATTCTGGCTTTCAAGTATAATAGCAGGACTTGGAGACGCCTGAAGGTATGTACAGGCACCTCTATTTGCCAGCTTGCTAAGCCTGCCAGCAATTTTTCCTACTGTAAAAGCTACTTTATGGTATTTTAGGTATTTTCCTAATAAAGTACACAATATAAAGCTGCCCTAAAAAATTAGAATGGTACTATGGAGAAACTTGCATCTACTCTTTTTTTTTCTTTTCAAATAGTTTTATTGGGTTTTTATCATTTACATAAAAACATGTGACATTGGTACATAAATATCTGGTATTAGCACAGAACAGCATGTGATATTATAAAAAAGAATAACAAGGATGGGTCAGCTGTTTAAACAGTTGATCCCGCAGTGTTCAAACATGAAAAGGAGACACCAGTAGGTGTCTACCAGGTAGACATATTGAATTAAAAAAGAACAGGAGATCCAGTAGAAAAGTAGGGAAAAGAGAAGGAGAAAAAAGGTAACTGTGAATAAGAAGGGGGAAGGAAAGTGTAGGGACGGGCAGAGCGCATGACACGTACTGTCATGCGTTTGGCCGCTGACAGTACATGTAGCATTAGCTTAAATAGTAAGGTAGTAAGACCCACTGGTCTAACATTGATAAGAGGTTCCTGAGGGATAGGTGGTATATGCCTACCCATTAGTATGGAGATGATCTTATATACCCAGAAGGCGGTAACTATCAGGCATGACCACCACATGTGGAGATATGTTGCACTGCCACGGCAACCTCTGGTGCAGAGGCCGTCATGAGATGGCATAAAATGAGCCAATTGGATGGGCACCCTGTACCAACGGAGAAGTACCATGTAATTAGCTTCAAGGGTCAGAGCATTTTTAGAACAGGACTTGGTGTTTTTCCCATATTTGGGACCAGGTGTCCTCGTCAAGCGAGAAGTTAAGGTCAGTATGCCTGTGCCGCCCCAATGGGGCATAGAATATAAGACGCATAGCCTCAGTTAATATTAGCATTGTTAGTAGATAGAATTTATATAGATTGTTTTCTT